TGATGGGCATCAGTATTTGGACAATCTAAATTTAATAAAATTGTCTTTTCATATTTTTAATAAATTATTAATTTAATAGGTACAGATTGAAATTAAAAATAATTTTATGACCGTCACTTTAGCAAAAAATAAGTTTTATGTAAAGAATTACAGGTTAGAAATTTTAAATTTAAACCACTAAAAATAATTTTTGATGACTCAGATTTTATCAATCTAATGAGCACCAAAATTCAACCTCTTTCTACAGGGACAACTAATTCAGACATTGAGGTGTCTGCAATGTTTCAACATTTTTAATGAGATTGCCCTTAGCTGTTGGAAAGAAGATGTACTAAAAGAATGAATGTTCATAAGAAACAGCTCTATTATGCTATCATTGGATGTATATGTGTGTGTGGATTTGAATTTAAATTTGAGCCAAATCTCTTATTTGATTGTTTAAAAATTTATGGATTTCGATATTATCTTAATTTTTTTACAATATTCAAATAAATGTTAAATACATAAATAAATGTGATCTAAAATTCAAATCTAGCATTTTAAACACTACCTAACTTCATATTTTAAATCAAAATTATAGTAGGTCCTATAAACCTATCAAAATTTGAGATGAGTTGCATGATTATTATGAATTAGAATAATTGATAATTGATAATGTCATAATTATTATAGATGCATTGATATTTGATTCATCGTAATAGTCACAAAGGCCTTGTGGAAAGGATGGACGGCTTTAATTAAGGTATGAAACATAAAATTAATCTCCATCTTACAAATGTGTAAATTAAGACATAATCTTTATGCAAAAAAAAAAAAGATCTAATATGTGCATGAGTGAAAAAAAGAGAGGAGACGGTGGTGCTTGTTAGAACTTAAGGGGTGGTTTAAAGATCATTTCATGCTTAATATGAATGGTGATCACCTATCGATTGTTTAGTTCTGGATGTGTCTGTAGGGTCTTAAACTTGCTTGGGATCTTAGGTACCATTAAGTGATTCTTAAACCTAATTCTGTCAATGGTAGACGGCCCAACATTCAAATATAAATGTCATCTCTAAAATTCAAGCTCTATTAGTTTGGGATTGGAGGGTGAAAGTTCATAAAATTTCATGTGATGCTAATGAAGTTGTGTCCGTGCTTGCTAAACAAGCTTGATCTTGTGCAGCTAATTTTCGTCGTGTGTCTACTCATTTTCTAGAATTATTTTTCTACAATAGGACATCATAACTACTTGACATCCTCCCTCATTATTAGAAAGACATAGAGAGAGGAGTTATCAAGATCGAGAGGGAGAAAGAAGATTATTAAATAGGTTATTAAATCAATTTTAGTTAAACTAGATCTATGCCTCGTGCGTGATGCACGAAAATATTTAAACTTTTGAGAATAAAAATAAAATAAATATTAAAAAATATTTTAACATTCTTAAAGTAAAATATATATTTGTTCTTTATTTTATCTCCATTATAAATATTTTTAAATTTTAAAATTTCTATGAAATCAATGGTTAAGAGTTACAAAATATGAGTATCTTTTCTATTTTAAGTTTTCATTTTCACCCATCTAATCATTAACTGATAGTTACTATTTTTGATATATTCTTTTAATTTTTTATTTATATTTTAAATTTATTAGTATACAAATTAATTTATTTAGTAATTTTTTAAAAAATATAAGATATTTTTAATCAAATCTAATCTCAAATAGAGTAGTTTTTTGTCTTCAAAATAGCACCATCTTTTTATATTTATTATTTAATTGGGTGTTTCATTCTAAAGTAAATATAAAATAATTTATTCATTATGGGCATTTTTGAAAAAAAAATCAATTATTAAACTTTTAAACATTAAAAATAATTTATATTTTTTAATATCCAACTCTTAAGACATAACCTCTTAAAAAATGTCTTGTATTTTTTAATAAAAGGAGTAAGTTTAGTAAAATAATATTTCAAATGCATATCTAAAAAAAACTTAATGGAATAAGAGATAAATTAGTCAGTATAATTTATATTTATATTTATTTAAATTTTATAATCTTGATTAATGAGACTAAAGTGTAAGTTTAGAAGTCCTTATAATTCTAACAAAATAAAAGGAATGCTAGTGTATTTTACTCTATAATTTATTAATTTGTGCAAATTAAAATCTAAAGAATATTGTATTTTAAAATTTTCCATGTTCATACATATTAAAAATATAAATAATAACTTATTTCATTTTAGAGTGTATTATCCTGTGTAGGTTAAAATTTAAAAAACACTTCTTCTTCATCTTTTTGTTTCCTGAAATATCCTCACAATCGGTAAGTATAAGATTAAAATTTTAACAAGATGATACTTATAAAAAATGACTTCTATGTGATGCTCTTATACATATTAAAAAATATCATTATTTCTTAAAATTTCTCACATCCTGCAATTTGAAATATAATCTAACTTGTTTTTTTTTTCCTAAAATGTGTTACCCTGTGTATCACCTCAAGGAAAATAAAACATATACTACAATAAAACGTACTATAGTTTATATGATAATATTATTTATAAAGCATAATTATAATAGTACTAAGTCAACCAAATAATATAATTCATGTTTTGCTACCATTTATCAATCATATGTATAAACATTATAAGCAATACAATGATTATTAAGAAAAGATTAGGTGTACAGTGAAGATAAATTTATTAATATTATGTAATTAATTTGTAGCCGATAAATTTTGTTGCTCATACTTGAGGTACATAATTGCATCAATATTTTTCATAAGTGTTCAAATCATAATCAACTTTTACATATAAATAATAGAGTAATAAATTTTATTCCTTATGCATTTGAAGAATATAAATAAAAACTTATTTTATATATAATATGCTCACACAAACTATTTTAATTTGTAACCTTGTGTTAACAATAAATACTTTTTTCGTTCAAAAATATAAGGTATTTATAGCTAAAACTCACCCTCAATAAAAGTGATTATTTGTTTTCAAATTAATCTCATTTTTTATATTTATCTATATTTAATAAGAAATTTACTCTAAAATAAATATAAAGCGATTTATTCAATAGGGGTAAGTTTGAAAAAAAACAATGATTACATTTTAAATGATTAAAACTATCTTATATTTTTAAACATTCAACTCCTAAAAAAACACATTATATTTTTTAATGGAGAGAATATATAAAAAATTCTTTGTATATCCAACACCTATTATTTTACTAAAAATCTTATATTCACCATTAATTTTTAGTATAAAATCCAATATGATCTCTCAAAATATAAAAATCTTATTATTTTTTACACCTTGCTTAAATTTTTAAATTTATAAATCTAGACCTAGCTCATAATTTTTAATGGTAGCTCCTACACATAACTTTTTAAAACCACATTACTTTAATTTTTAAAAAACTAAGGTTATTAAAATATTACATTTTCTCCATTACTCTTAAAATCTCAATTCATACAGAGTTTAAAATATCTGAATATATAAAAAAAATTTATAGTCAAGTCTGACTCTTAACAATTTGAGTTTTCAGGTTTATTTATATTATTTTCACTACCTCAAATTATTAAAAATTATCTCATTTTATTTTTCTCTTTATTGAATCCATACACTGCGTCTTTGAATATCTTTTTTAACAAATTTATATATTTAATATTTTTAAAATTTTACAAAATAAATTCATTTAAATAATGCAAATTAATTTTTTGGTAATTTAAATGATTTTTGAATAATATTTATATTTAAATATGGGTATTTTAGTTCAGTATACATGATTTAACATTCAACTAATGGCTAGGTAGATGAAAATAAAATCTTAAAAATAAACAAAACTTATATTTTATAACTATTCATGTTAAAAAAAGTTCATATAGGTTTAAAAAAATAGATGAAATCTATCATTAATTAAGATAAAAATAGACAAAATATTTTTTTCATTTTTAAGTATAAGTTTTGTATCAACAATTTATTTTTCATAGATCTCACATGCATCGCTTCTATTACAAGGCCCACATTATCCTTTTCCTCTTTTATTTACTATATCATATTAAAAAAATAACAAATAAAAATATAAAAAAAGCAAGAGAACATTAGATGGGTGTTAGAGTTGAGAATAAGGGCTGGGCTTGATGGGCCGCTCATTTTAGCCCGTTTTGAATAGGGGTTTGGATTTAAAAATTTGATGACTTTTAGGATAATCGGGCTTTGAAGTCTGGCCCTTTTAAGCCCTAAAAAAGGAGCTCGGGCTTGGTGGCCTGCCAAGCCCGTTTAACTTTTTTTTTGCTTTTATATTGGACTTTGGGGAATGGCCGAATTGGGGTTGGACTTTTAACTTTCAAAAAAACCCTACGTAGCACACTTGTACTTGGTTTCTCAGTCTCTCACTCTCAGTCAAACCTATAACAGAGTTGGAAATAACATTTTATTTATGGATGGTGATGAGGGAGATTTTGATTAGCATTGATAATGACTTTTGTCTTTATCTTATTTGAACTTCTAAATCTTGTGTTTATTTTTTAAATTATGTGAGACTTTATTTGATATATCTTAAATTTTAAAATACTTTAAGTAAATTAAAATATTAAATTTTATTTTATTTTTTTCCTTAAACGAGCTTATGGGCTCGGCCCTGAGTCCTTTGAAAAAGGGTCGAGTTTTAACTTTTGGGTGAAATTAGGGTAATCGAGTTTTCGGGCTTAGGTCCATAAGGACCGAACCCATATAAGTTAGGCCCGCCTGTTTATCAATTATAGTGCTCCATAACATTTTTTTTTTAAACGAAAAAGTCGGATCTACAGTACCATCTGACATCTGTATGCAAGATAAAAAACCAGGAAAAAAACCGGGGGTATTTTTGGTAAATCAGTGTTCACATAAGTTATTTTATTCCTCAAGCCTCGCAGTCGCAGTCCACTCACTCCAATTCCCACATGATGATGATCAAGGGCCTCCGCTTCGCCACGTGGCATGATTACACCATTACGTGTCATTTTCCCTCCTTGTCGACCGCGAATTCTGAACTCGAAACCCGAGGAGTATGGAGTGACGGAGGCGACTGAAATGCACAGCGCCGGCGCGTGCTAATCCTCAACCTCCTCTACTCCGTAAGTGCCTATGCTAACCCTCTTCCATTCGTTGCATTCAATTGCCACGGTGCCCCATAGTTTGCTTCCGCTTCCACGATGGTTCGTTTTCTGTGTTAGAATATGTACGCTTCCGTAAGTGTTTTTTTTTTTTTTGATGACAGAATTTTCGTATTCCTTTCATAGTGGAGCATGATACCCTATGAATTTTCCGGGAGACGGGTTAATTTTGTATCAAGACTTTAAGTCTCAAAGCGAGCATTGATTTCTGTCCGGTGCTCATTTTAGTTATCACTGTAGTGATTCCTGTGCGTTCTTTAATTCCCTTCCAGCTGAAAGCGTAGTCTAGAGTTGAGAAATCCTCTTTTATTTATGTAGTTTTCTAGCATTCCTCAGACAAGGACTAAATGATGCAGTTTTCACAATTTCAACGGGTATTGACAGAATTTCTGTCAATTACTTGTAGCAAAACATTTAATTCTTGCATGATCCAAGATCATTTGCAGTTCTGTACTGGCTTGCCTCAGAGTGAATGCCTGGGCATGTGGAGCTCTCCCCTCTCTATTAGCATGTGCCTGGGGAGGCTTCGCTTGGATTTGAGGAGAGGTTTACTATATAATAGAATGCAATTTGTCTTTTTTCCTCTGGTTTGGAGAAAATATTTGATGAATGCATACTGCAAACTGCGTGACATGCGGTACTGTTGTTGCTACATGGGACTACTTCTGTGCTATTCATGCGCAGCAATGGCTTCTCATTGCAAGAGGACAATATGTCTACAAAATTTTGTTTGTCTATGATTTATTTCTCATCCCGTCTTAATAGTATCATCCTTGCAGCATGGCTTCTTAGTTACTAGACTGCTAATCCAATAGCTGATGTTTCCCTTTGTGTTCTTTTCAGCTTGTACTACCTAACATATAACTCCTCAAGATGGAGATAAGTACAGCTAGGTAAGCATATTTGAAGTTAATTTTACAGATTGACCAGCTGTCTAAACATCACCATTGTTCTTCCCCGCCTAGTCTGCTCCCTTTTCCTCCTGTCCACCCAAAGTTTGAATTCTTTGTATTAATATTATTGAGGTTTGTCTTTTGTGATATTGCACTCATATGCTTCATTCTACAGTACTGCAGTACAGTAAACTCAATTTAGTAATTTTGTAAAAAGTAATTATAAAAATTACGATCTTCTTTATTTTATTAGGTGTTGTTTGGACTCCCAGCCACAGGCAATATTGTTTTCAAGAATATCAAGAACATCGGGGTGGGAAAGCACTCATAGAATTTCTTATAATATGACTGCCCTGAGTTTAAGGTTGGGCTATCGAGGCTTGGCCTCTTCCTACCCAATCTCAATCTTAAATGCAGTATATCCAAATAGGCCATGTTTCCATAGAGCACATTCTATGGCAACTAGTTTGGATGAGTCTACATGGCTACAGTCTGAAGGTGATTCTGATGAAGATGAGGATGCATCTGAAGACTCGACGGAGAAGATTTTGGAACAACCACTGACAAGTGAACAGGTAATTTCCAATTCTACTACATGGATGTCTACAGAAAGGCCAATGACTGCTAGTTGTTAATCTACCTCAGGGAAATATGGAATTCCTAATATTTTCCTTAATTATTTTTAAAAGCAGGATCTATTATATCTTAAAATTTTTAAAATCACTTTCAGGAGCTCTCAGTTCTCTTTTCCTGCTATCGTAAAACTCAAATAATTCTGAATTTCAGATAATAGCCTCTTGCCATTCCATTATAAATTGGAAAAAAAAAAAATCAATTCCTGTCTTTACTATTTCTTTTATTCATTTATGTATGAAAGGTGATGCACCTATATGCTCCTAGTCACAGGGATTCTGTAAATAGTAAAAGTTGAAGTAGAAATGCAACTCTAATCTAGGACATGAAGTGCATAACTTGAGATGTATTATCAATCAGTAATTTTTGCAAGGCTCTATATACAATAAGTGAAGTCAATTGGAAGGATTGGTGTAAGGTGCAGAACTTGAAAAAGAAAATCTGTCTTGATCACAACTGACTCTTATAATGATCATATTTGGTTTTCATCTTTTCTGTTTATTACCACTGTCCACTGCAAGGAGGAATGGTAAAAATCTATTAACTCACGTTACAGGGTTGAGTTCCCATGCAGATTTGTGCTTACTTAAGTTTACCTGTTTCTTGCACAATATGATTGTGCTTTCTGTTGGATTTAATTTTTCTACTTGGATCTTTTTCTTTCTCGAAAAGATAGCAGCACTACTTGCTGATACTGAGAGAGCGAGGCTTACAAAGAAGCTTAGTGAAGCCAACCAACATAATCGGTTCCTCAAAAGACAGGTCTGATCAGATATTTTGGATTGCTCTTAATTTGAAATCTAGGTTTTTCCGTATAACTATTTCTCAAGAGTCTGGGTTTCTTCTCAATCTTCTATAATATTGAATATATTAGGTTTGCGTTTTGCTCACAAACTATATAGATATCTTCCGTGGTTGATTGTCAATGGTTGGCTAGAGAAATAATTGGAATGTTTAGAACAGCCATACGTCAAAATCTAGTTCATGGGGATAGAGAACAGGAGGTCAATGTTAATTCCACATTAGAACCCATACCCCCTCATGTGGAACTCAGGTCCCATGCATTGCAATCGGTTTGAACATTACCTTAGATGTCTATGCTAGAATCAAAAGCAACAGAATATGTTTTATCAAGACAACTAATTTGGATGTTGCATCTTCCCTATATGATACTAAAACAAGATTATGATCTATGGCTGTATTATTGGTAAAATAAAATGTATTAATAGAAAAACAGCAGACAAGTGGAATTGGATTTGTATATCACGTCAAAGTGGAAGAAAGTGTGAATTTCTTAAGTGTTTTTAGGTCTTTTGATATTGTTAATTTTCTGTATTAGGCTAACTGCAAGTCCATTCAGATAATGGGAATTGTTGCAATTACATGTTTTATTAATTACCAGTCAGGGCTGACTCATCCACTGGGATAAATTTGGAGCACACATACCAAATTAGATGCTTTAAAGATTAAGTTATCCAATCTAACTATCTAATGCCATATGCATGTTTATCTTTTTTGAATCAGTTAATCAATCGTAGCGTGTTTGGGTAGACTTGTGCATTCTAATTCTTGGTCTTTTCTTAATTTTTATTTTCTTCGTGGAAGTTGGTGGTCCTTTTTGAACTCAACTAATAATGGTTCCTGATTTCATGTTGTAACTATTTTTTGTGGGGATTCTTTCGTTTACATTGTAAAAATATAAAAACAATTGTAGGGAATAGAATATTAATGAGTTCTTAGTAACGAACAAGAATATTTTGGCAATATTTATAAGTTAACTAGGTGTGGCCACCATGTCCACCGTTCAAATTTAAGAATGTGTAAAAAAAAAAAAAATGTTGGCATGCAATCTAATGGATGAGCTATGTTCGTGATTTATGAATAATGCGCTTCTCTTTTACTTTTATATGTTTATAAGAAACCGCCATCCTATATTGATCTCTGTTATCTACAGTTGCAAATAAAGGAGGAATCATTGGTTAACTTTAAAAGTGAACTTGCTGTTATGGAGCTTGAAGTTCAGGTTAAAATCAATTTCAACTTCTTTACTTTCTGTGCCGTTTTCATGCTGCCTAACATTCCTCTTGAAAATATATGCTGCGTAATATTATGCCCAGCAGTCTGTGATTTTTACTGCACCCTCTAGTTCTAAATGTAAGAAACCGTTGAGAACTTTGGTTTGGTCCTTAATGTAAGACCCCATCCACTTTTGTCTACCACATTAATTATCTTTTCCTGGAGTACCCCTATTCAATGCCCCATTTTTACACTGCAATCTGCAAAGGAAATTATTAAATAGAGTGAATTAAATAAGTGGGGTATTTGAGGAAAACTATCACAAATTGTTAACACATTAATTGCAAATTATTAACTTTATTTCTTAATCTCTGTGAAGTTGGTAAAAAGCTCTTACAATTAGAACCAGAGGGAGTGTCTTGTTTTGTATGAGTCTTTATCATAATGTCTTTCATTTCATTGCTTTGAGCTTGAGTCATGAAATTCTGTGGAAGGGCGTTATGAAAACTAATCTCAGCCTTTGCTTTTTCCTGAATTTTAACTTTTCATGTTTCTATAATTTTGGCTGAATTCAGATTCTGAAAGCTCCAAATATATCAGCACTTTATTTGTAACTATGATGTTCGTTGTGGGAATTACCAATTCTGCTCCCATGTACTCATGTTCTATTGATGACATTAGACTAATCTTGCTTTGTGTGAACTGTTCTAACTTGAGATTAGCACACAAATTCCACCTTCGTAATGAATTATGGGTCATGTTTCCCTCCTACATCGTTACTGAAGTTGTACCTTGACGATGCTTGCCTTTGCCTGTTACGGTGTTATATTCTCTATAATCAAATTTGATGATTGAAACTATTATAAGTAGTTATATAATCGTTTGAATAGCTAATCTTAATTCGATTAAGATTTTGATGACGAAAGCTATTAATGTTAATATTATGATAATGAGAATGAGATAATGATATGTCATCTTATAAATTAAATGCTATTTAATCCTCTACTCAGTTTAATTTGCGATTTCTAATGACAAACACCTTTGTAAATTTTTCCTCTATGATGTTTAAAACTCTTTTCAGCTGATTAATATTGTTTGCGAATCTCTGATAATGTTTGCTTTGGATGAAGGCTTTGGTCAAACTTGCTGAAGAAATAGCTCAGTCTGCTATTCCAGGAGGTTCAAGGAAGATCAAGGGAAAATATATTCAATCTCACCTTGTTTCTCGTTTAGAAGGTAGAATGGTGTTGCAGTTCTTCTGCATGCTCCATATGAACTGGTCCATTTATGTAATGCTAATGAATAAATTTCAGGAAAATTATATATAGATTTACTTGATTTCATGTGATCATTATGTATTCATTTTATATAATACATGCAATTTCCTACTTTTGAATATGTTACTCGAGGGGGTAGGGGTTTCTCTAGTTCTGATAAATTGTTGCCTCTTCCATCTCTTTGTCGATGCATATGCAATGGTTTGGCCTCCAAAGCTATGCATGAGAAATTGAAGGAACAGATAAAGGATGTAGATTCAGTTCAATCCAAAGAGGTTCCTGTATTTTGGGTTGGCATGGCTGAGGTAAATATGGAAGATAGTCCTTCATTTATTCTATGGAAACTTTAATCTGAATCATGAAAACAGTGGATAGTTTAATGTCAACAAAGTTGCTTTTGCTGCCATATCATCTGAATCAACTAATTTTATATATAGGACTGAACATTGGCTTCATTTGCCAGTGAATAGAATCTAGGAAGAATGGCAAATAAATCCCATCGAAATACAAATAAGTACCACAAAAGGCAGTAGTTACTTTGAAGTCCCCAAGAACTTATCTGACAATTTTTTTTTTGGGCAAAATTATGTTTTTGACCCTAAGCAAAATAATAAAAAACATAGTTGTTAATACCTAAAGTTAATAAAGAATATAAAGTCTTTATATCAATTACCACATTTCATGGTGCTATTTGGTCATTTGTTTATTTTGAGGGGATTTATTTGTCATTTTCCCAAGAATCTATAATATTATTGTGAAATACTGCATTTCTAAGCTTTTATATAATGTTTTGGTATTTAGTTTGTGTCTGGTTAACGTCTGAATTATCTGTTTATTCTGTCGTATTTTTGCTCTTAACTCTTAGGGCTCGTTTGGTACACAGCACTGGCTAAGTGGGACTGGGTTTGGGATTGAGTAATACCAAGCTTTTATGTTTGGTAGGTGGTAATGACAAATTTATTCCCAAACCCAATCCCATCTTGGTGGGAATACCCAATACCACCTCCCCCCTGGTACTGCAAATTCAATCTTGGGATTGAAATTTTCATGACTGAAATGCCCTCATCAAAAACCTGCCCAGTCAGCTTACTCCTCCATCATCTCACACGGATCTCCTCCATCATCTTCGACCTTGCAACGCAGAGACGACAGCTACTGAAGACAACCGCCATAACGACGACGGAAGAGAACTGCCACAATGCAGAGACAGGGAAGGCACGGATCGACAGCAACACAGAGACAGGAGAGTTCGCGACCTGAACGAAACTCCTTACAGTGGTAGACGACAGCGACTTCAACAGCGACGGTGATGGAAGAACAAGCTTAACAGCAACTGGCAAGGACGAACGATTAGTCGCGTGAAACAGAGGAAAGGCAAGAATCTTGTTCTGGACCTCCCAGCGACGGCAGACGTGCTTGCCCCACCACACCAATGACATTGAGGACGGTGGAAGAGGATGGAGGTGAGGGTTTCTGAAAGAGAGAGGATGATAATGGAGATGAGGGCAATATTGTCTTTTAGCTATTTTTTTGGGTTAAACTTGAGTCTTTTTTTTTTTAATCCCATGTTATACCAAACATAATTTTAAAACTTGTTTCTAATCCCAATACCAGCCCCAATTCCAGTTCCAATCCCAATCTCAATCCTATAAAATTCAATACCTTATACCAAACAAGGCCTTAAGAGCGTGCAAGTAATGGGCAGCTTTGATGGTTGGAGCCAAGGAGAGTACCTATCACCAGAGTATGATGGTTCTTATACAAAGTTCTCATCAACATTGATGCTCAGACCAGGAAGGTGCCGTTTTCTCAACTAAATGAAGTTTCGAACCTGGTCCTTTAATAGCCGTGAGTCTTCTCTTGAGCTATAAATGTCTTGTGCAGGTATGAGATCAAATTCTTGGTGGATGGTGAATGGCAGCTTTCACCGGAGTTTCCCACTATTGGTGAGGATTAACCAAAAACAATCTGTTAGTTGTGGAATGATTTGTATGCAGTTTGCAGAAGCATATGTAGTTTTTTCAAGTGTTTGCCATATCTTCCACTTGGACAACGTGTTGGTTCCTTGTGAATCAAATTGTTCTGCTAAATTGGGTTGAGGCCATATTTTACTTAGACGAGTCAGTGCAGCTGGGTCCCGTCGGAAGTGCATGTAAGTAGGTTTACTTGCTGATTAAAATTACAGTACATACAGTGAGAAACTAGTCTTTATATTAAATGTTATTTACGCGTTTGAATAACATTTTTATGCAACATAAAGTGAATGCTGTTACAGCTTCGGCCAACTGAGATTCTATAAGGCTTAGAGCATATTTGGATTGAATCTTAAGTTAGGAGAGATCAAACCTAAGTTAGGATCTTAAAAGCCTTATTTATCATGTATGGATAGCAAAAAATAACCAACCTTAGTTAGGGTTCAAACCAACGTTTTTGCCAAACCTCAACCATCCAGCTTTTCCATAACGTTGGGTGTCCAAATATATGAATGTTGGAGCATCAAATGCTTTTTCAATTTTTTATTCTCTCTCTTCAGTTGCTTGCTCTCTACTCAGATCATCATCATTGCCGTTCCTATGGTTGCTCTGGCTCGCCCTTCATACTCCCAACCTTGTTGGATTTGATGAGAGATCACAGCTGCAGTCGCTACCGCCACCGTTGTTGAGACCCGATTTCCACCGTGTGTGCAGTGTGTTGCTCGCATTGATTTACCGTGCTGTCTTCCCTCTCTTCATTCACGAGTGGCATGATTTCTCTTCCTTTGCCTTCACAAGTCTCTACTTTTATGAGCGTGCTGGTCACCATTTGATCTCTCGCTGCAAATCGGACTAGCGATTATGCTCACCATTATTGTTGTTGTCTGATCTTTCGTCGATTGAACCAGTGCTCATGGTGTTTTTGGCATGAACGGAGATAGTCTAGAGCATAGCAAAGCTGACTTGCATGGAGAAGACAAGATAAGTAAAGAAGGAATGTGTTGTCAACGGCGAAGGTGATGTCTATGAAAATGTTGCAGATGAGGTCGAAGAAGGTGGTGTCGATGAAATATAGCGTTTGGCGAGGTTGAGACCGAACTACTGGTGCTTTTGCAAGAGTAATCCAGTATTATAAATAATAGTTAATATTTAACACCTCATTTTATATATATTGTTTTTCTAAATTTAAATTTAAAGTTTAATTTTTTTAAAGAAGATCAAGTTAGACTATTTATTAAATTTTAATTATATATAGACTATAATTTATCATTTCATCCATGCTCTTTTTTTAAAATTTTGATTTTTAAACAATTAATTTATTTAGATATTTTAAGTCTAACTTTTTAAATGTAATCTAAAGTATATGATTTTTTTCTAAAAATATTAAATTAATCACAAAAATATATACAACAAAATTTATGCTCATTTTTATCATTATATATCTTAGCTGATTTTTGAATTGAATCATCTAAATAATTTTCAATTTATTCAACTGATATATGAAAAAAAGTATTTAAATATAAATTATATTAAAGTCATAAATTTTTTTTCTAACCTCAATTTGCTAATTTTAGTTAAATTTTAACTTTAGTTGTAAATTTTTTAATTTGAACACATATTTACTCTTGTAGGGTTTAAGAAAGAACTGCCGAAGGAACTTGGTCCATCACAATCATAATTAAGCATTCTTACCTTTACAATTAAGTCCTTAAAAAAAATTATACATATACAAATCAAAAGGGATTTACATCTATGCCTTGAACCCCTGCATTGAAAATTAGAAAGAAAATGTTTACACACAATTACCCGTGCGTTTGGAATTGAATTTTAAAATGGAAGGGCCTATATTAACCCAAAGAGAATTGGTTAAAAAAAAAAAAAAACACGAGAGAAATCATGTGGTTTATCCGTGGGTGCTGTGAATATGGTCAAAATTAAAGGCACTTATCTAAGAACAACATGAAGAAGAAAATCAGATACAGTTACATTGCTCGAAAAGAATGTTTCAATATATAATAACAATAATGTGATAATTAATAGTTAAATAATAATATAATAATAACAATAATTTCTTGTAGTTAGATAGGTACAAGTAAATAAATCATGGAATGAACTTTTTTTTTCATAGTTCGTGAAAAGTTTATCACAAATTTTATATTTGATATGATATATATAATATATTAATTGATATCAAAGTAATTTTTCATTGCCCAAAGCTAAAAACCATGTATTACCAGAAAAAGGAAATCTGGTCTAATAGTATGAGAAAAAAGGATCAAGTAATGTTAACCAAAGATTATGTAGTTTGAAGATATTCCCATGATAAAAATGATAATTAAATAATGATATCTCATTTTTGGTCAAAATATTATCTCACTAATTCATCATAAATTAAAAATAAATTTATTTAATAACTTGGTGTTCCCTAATACCAAGTTTGATTTAATTTTAGTCGTTTTTCTAAATATTTTTTTTCATCCGCAGGCTACAATGTTCCAATCTTGAACCTAAATCCTCTACATAACCACCATTAAATAAAATGAATATTTTTAACTGCACATACTAGACTTCATAACAAGAGTAGGAAAAAAGTTAGAAAATCTCTCCTAAAAGATAGTAAAGAGACTGAAAATATTAAGTAATATCTACCATAGATTAACTCGAGTAGTAACGATTGATGGATTGATAATAGAAATTTAAGATTTGAATACTTTTGATGTAACCAAGAAAAATAATAAATGTTAATAAGAATAATTATTTTTTTAACTAATTTTATTTTTATTAACGCTTTTTATTAATTATTAATGTTATAAAATAATTAATGTTTTTTATTAATTATTTTTAAAATAGTAGAGAGATTTAAATGCTTTCGATGTAACCAAGAAAAATATTTTGTGTTAATAAAAATATGAAAAAATGCATCAACAAGGTCTTAAGTTTTATTTAATTTTGAATTAGAATACTGCTGTTTATTTTATTTAATTGAGTCTTTATAATTTGATCAATTAAATTTTTTAATTCTTAAAGGTTAAAGTCCTTAATTTTTTTTTAAAAAAATAAAATCAAGAACTTTTATATTTTTATTATATGATTATATAAATTTAATATTAATTAAATACTTTTTATAACTCAAAGTTTATATAATTATTTTTTATGCATTGAGTTTAAATAAAAAATAATAAAATTGTAAACAAGGTATTAAATTAATTTTTTTTGTAAATTCCAAGATTATTTTTGTTTTATAAAATTTTATACTTCATTATTAATTTTAAACTTTAGGGGTTAACATATATAATAAATTAAACTATAAAGGTTTGATTAAAACAAAATAAACTACAAGGATCTAATTTAAAATTTAACAAAACTATAAAGACTTGCAGATTAATTTTTTCTAAAAATATTAAGTTCTCATTTTTTTTTCCTGGGTCACCTCTTCAAATTTTTTTGGATTTAGGAGATTCTATTTATTTCGGTTTAGAAGAAAAAGGAAGGACCAAAGTCTTTACATAATCATCCAGTACAAGCTCTTCTTCATCTTCTTAACATTTTTTGAAGGTACTACAAACTACTCCATGGGATTGTTACCTAGAAGTGACATTGTCATTTTCTTCTGCTGAGGTACCTATTGCTTTCAAATCAATTCCCCACCACTCACTCTTTAGAGGAGGCTTGAATATTGAAGTAAACTGTATAAGTTTCATCTCTGAAGGAGTATAATGGCTCCAAAAGATAGTTCCTCTTTGCTCCTTTAGCCAGAAAACTGATAGGATTATACCTGCTTAGTCCCTCTCTTGCTATGAAGCTAGCAGCTTGCTTGAAATTAGTATGAGACTTAGACTTGCATTTGAGCTTCACAATTGCACCAGAGCCGCTACTACACACAAAGCAACCCTTTTTGCTTTCTGATTCTAATGATATAGTTCCCTTTTGTTCATCCAATCCTTTTACTACATTGAAAACACTAGAGACCCCACCATTGGAAGAATGATCCACAATGACATTACTATTTTCTGCTCCTTGGTGCTTCAAGAGCATTCCAGGAAGATCAAATGGTTCCAACATCACTGATTCACCAATAATAGAATCCTCTCCAATTGTTGAAGACCTTTTTGAGGAGGATTCACTAGAGATAAGTCTAAAGGTTGCATGAGGAGCCAATGCAGTTCCAGGTTTAGGTGATTTTATCATCTTAAGAGATTGATTTGAGTTGGTCAAAACAAAAGTTGAGCCAGAAAGGTCTTGAGAAAAAGTTACTAGGTGACTATTGTAACTTGCAGGGATTGGAGTAATCCAGTCATCGATGGATGCATTTGAACTAACTGTAATGTTCCAATCACCATTGGTATGACCAGCAAGAAGATATGGACCATAAAGAATTGCTTGAATAGAAGCATATTTTGACCTGTCATCTGATTTCAATTCAGAAAACATAATGAGTAATAAGAAAAAAAAAAATTCTTTTCTTGAAAGTGATAATAGTGACTGGCATACATGCATTAGTACCTTTTATAGCCTCAGTTCTAAGAGTAATGGGCAATTGAAGGGTCAACTTGTCACTGGCACTCCACTTTTGTGTGATTGACAGAAAGTTTCCTAAATGTGCACGAGATAAAATGAAGAGTTAATAAATAAAAAGACAAAATGTGACAGTAATATGTTGATTTAAGAAACATGTGCTTGAAATTATAGGGATAAAAGAAATTTTGTTGAGACAGACTTCTTATTCCCGTGTTGTTTCTGAGAGATTCTAGATGAAGAGTTCTAGTACCAGGAGATAACATAGATAGGGTGTCAGAATTTAGTATTGCCTTGGCATTGTCCAAACGAGTCCACACTGGTATCCGGAAGTTCAATGTGGAAGAAGTACCAGATCCCTGCAAAAGTGAACATTTCAATGTATACCCCATCAATTGTCATTCAGCCAATTCGTTTAGCAATTTAAAAAAAAAAAAAATAAGGGCAAACTACTGCATGTCTGTGTCAAGTGAGAGAAATTTTTGGCATCATATATGGATCTTATCTATTAGGGCAATATTCAATATAAAATATATATCTGTTATTACATAGGGGGAAATTAATTGGAGGTCAAAATTCTAATGGACTGATAACTGATTCATGCAAAAGCAAGTATCATTTGTAAAATTGAGTGGTTAACAATTCTTGTTATTGACTAAATCTACAGGGCTGAAATGTGATAGTAGCAATCTGTTTTCAGAAATCATATTCCAAAATTGTTTGTCAAGCTTAAGGTAATTGTTGGTAAAATTATAAATGATCATAATTAATAATTGGCATGGCATAAATAACACAATACAAATGTAATAGGTACCTTAGTAGGAGAAAATGTAAATGTCACTCGTAGATAAGGATCCATTGAAGTAGTAGGAACCACAGTCTGATTTAGCATGAGATACTCAGATTTCCAATTAAAAGAGCTTGATATATACTGGATTATGTAAAGAGTTGGATCCTTCCCTTCTTGTTCAAAATAAATAGAGTCTCCTAACTTTGAGAATGATTCAATGCCTGAACATTGACCACAGAAAAAAGACAGCGGAGAATATAAGAGCATGTAAGTTTGAGTTGTGTATATATTGTAGTTTGATACAATTTGAATTATTTAATAAACAAAACATACGAATACCTGTTCCATAGCAGCACCAAAAAGATTCAAACTTTGTTCCCCAACCGCGTTCAGATTTAGCCTTTGAAGCCCCAGGGCCTAGTGGCAGCATATAAACCATCACTCCGGGTTCTCTACCTCTTTGAATACTCAATACACCATTTGTTAAAGCACGCTCATAATAATCTGCATATGTTATTTCCTTGGTCCATCTAAATAGGTGCCTTGAAACCTAAGAAATGAATTAAGTGTAGTTAATTTTTCACTTCTGATGTAATGAAAACTTTTATTATGCAACAACTCATAAGTTTTATACTTTCAACATGTTATAAGTTGTGCATGACTCTTCAGTCTCTGGCGTATTCAGGTAATCTGCCATTCTCTTTGGATCATGCCTACAAAAAAGTTGAAGCAGATGAGTATGAAGGAATCAGCAAGTAACTGCTTAACAAGAAGGAACACAACACTTCCTACTTAGTGTCCCTGTAGCAAATTGATATTCAAATGGATGATTTTAAGTTCATTATATGGAAGAAATGAAACTAAAAATAATCATTTCCCATTATTTACCACCACTCTGTAACTGATGTCCCTCCAGTTGCATAACTGTGAGAAGAGTTAATAAGGTCCATAAAGAATGTGCCAATTTCCTATCATAGCAAAAGGCAAGAATAGAGTTAGTGAGAAACTTGAGATCATCACACATTAAACTATAAGAATGAACGCATAAAATTAGTGGGTTTTAAATGTTAATTATTTTCAAGTTTGGCCACAAGATGAAAGCTTTTTTCTCCCCCAAAAAAGTATTGTTTGCAATAGTTTTATTAGAGCACAATGATATCACTCAATCCATGTTGTCAACCCGCCTAGTAAGATAAGCCTTGTAGTAGTTGTTTTTTGTAGCTTTATTAGATAGTTGCAAGAAGAAAATGTCACAAGTAAATTCTATATATGAATAATATAATCAAAATAGATAATTAATTAAATATATAAGTTTTTTAGGGCAACGAATAATAAACAACCATTGCTCCTTTTATATTATCACTTATATGAAGCAGTTTACCTTATAAAGTGGATCACCAGTGACCTCATAACGCATTTGGGATCCAACAACAATTGGAATATGTGTATTAGCATGAAGATCAGAAATATCATTAGCCTGTATTGGGGAAAAAGAAACAGAGAATTTTAAAACCCTTGGGCTTTGTATTTTGTAACGTGAAGTAATATAAAATCATGATGCTGACATTGCAACATCCTGAAAGCTAAGAGACATAACAAAAGATATGATAATGTAGACTTAGAAGGCAAGACTGTCACATACAGCATAAATAATTTATTTAATTTGCAAGACACTTTTGTGTGTGTGGGAGATCAAATTTGATGGGAAATTTCCAGCCACTGAATGTTTGGGTATTACGTAAGGCCATAAATACGGTTTAAATTCAGAGAAAACCTATATGATAAAGAAATTAATATAATCACTACCTGCACCGCAAGCAACCCTAAAAAGCATGGCTTGTCAAAAAGGTGAGCCAACAATAAATGCTTTGGATCTCCCTGCATAGGTTAATTGACAAGACAGATTCTCAGAATTGAATTTAATAAGAGCAAGTATTGGGAATTATGAGTTATAATTCTGAATCTATGTATCTCAAGGTACCTATACTTGTATCAGTCAAGTAAAGAGGTAAAAAACATCATACCAGCAAATGAAACAAGAAGATAGTTAATTGCTAACCTACCGTAATGCTATATAATTTGTAAAGGACATCATTCATTCTTCCAGTTTCCTCATTCATTGATTGATAGTGTCTACTTATAGTGAACTTTGAAATCACATTTTGCACCCGGTTGTAAAAGTACTCAACCATCCATTTCAGCATTTTTAAAGCATGAGGATCTCCAGCAACAGTATGTTGATCTAACAGGCCAGCCATTATCTGTCAAAGTTTTCTAGCTTAATTAAATCCCACAACATTAAGCCAAATATGCTCAAAAACAAGTTTCAAACATACCTTGTGAATGGTGTAATATGGGGCCCACACAGGCTTAAGTTCTTCCAAGTGATCAAAATACAGAGATGGAAATGCAGAGAGATATCCTGTACCAAGTTTTTTCTGGCAGACAGAAAGATTGGCAACAAGAGCAGCCATTTTCTCCTTCAGACTATCATTGTGTGTACTGGCCCACATCAAAGCTGATGCACTCAAGTAATGTCCTTCCAAATGTGAAGAGAAACAAGAAATTATATCAAACACTCTTCCTCCTCATTTCTTTAATTATCTATGAAGAAATCAACCTGAGAAACACTGTATATGACTGATTAAAAACAAGAACTGGATATGATGAAACAGAAGTTAAGATTTTGAATCAAAAAAACCAACCAACAAAATGGCCTCGAAGTTCAATTTTTGGGTCTTCCCAACCCCCATAAGGCTTGCCAGGAGTGGGTAAACCAGCCGTCTTCCTGAAGCTCCAGAGCAAGCTATCCACATCTAACATTAACAGATACTCCAAATTTGTGAGCTGAGCTCGAGCATGGATTGATAAGTGGGGATGCAACCTCACATCATGCAGTGAAACCTCTTTGAGATGCCCTTGAGGTGGTGTGAGCGAACCCAGATTCTTGATTTTTCTGTACATGATTGCCCAATCATGCTGCTCTTGTTCTTCTTTCAGTAACTTTCTGGGCAATAAACTTTCCCAAACTGAGTCATCTGTTGGGGTTAGATGATAATGAGACATTAACTCAGCCTTCCATGTCTGGTTTTTTGATGTTAATAACTTGTAACGCAAGGTGTGAGACTGAGTAGCCTTGTTGGTGCATGCTTTAAGAGCAGTAGTGATAGAACAAGAATAAAGCAAGAGGATCAGAAGAAAGGAATAGAGAAGACAAATATTCATCCAAAAAAGCAGAAAGATGAACGAAGGAGATGTGAGAAAAAGAGGAATGGCTCAGAGGATGAGAGGCATGTGAAGAGGGTAATAAGGTATGTATAGTGTGTGGAGGCAAAGGAAAATGAAAATATAAATGGTAGGAGGAGGATAAGAGGAAACCCCCCCTCCAAAAAAAAAAAAAAAAAGGAGAGAGAGGGTTAAACAGATAAAGGTTGAATGGGGTAACAGATAAGGTTCACATTACCGACAATACATTATCAATGTATATTATAAATTCATAATTGAAAGCCAAATCTCCAGCACTATGCTTTTATTAGTTGCATCATTTTTTAATCTATTGAATTTTTCCTGCATTTGTTACATTAAGTACAAAAATTAAGGGCAATTTCACCCTTAAATTATAGGTTCAAAAACATCTAAGACTCTAAATTCATTCTAAGTATAATGTTTCATTTGAATTTTTAAAAACGGTGCAATGTTTATCATTGATAATAGTTAACTTTGACCGTTAGTAGACAAAAATGACCCAAAAATTTCAAACAATTACCCAAAAATTACAAGAAAGAACTAAGAATTTTTTTCCCCTTTCTTTAATTTTTGATATCCTCTTGTGTTATTTTTTGATCAACTAATGATCAAAATTAACTTTTATTACCAATAAGGGTCGTATTGCATTATTTTTAAAGGTTGAAAGATAACTTTACATTGAAAATGAGTTTAAGATCTCAAACGCTTTGGCACCTATAATTTAGAGGTCAAATTGTCATTTGACTCTTTTAAAAATAATGCATTTAATAATGACAAATTGAGAATTTATTTCCGACAACATCAATAATTTAATTACCTTTTGCTTTGTTCTAATGAAATAATTAGAAGTATCTGACAAAAAGAAAAAAGTTAAAAGTAACTTATAAATAAGATTGAAAAAATACAATTCTAGAATTTTTATATTAAATATAAATCTTGTGTTCAGTGTAGATTTTAAGGTGAGCTGGCTATATAGACTAAGAATCTTGTGTTCAGTGTAGATTCTAAGGTGAGTTGGTTATGATTCAAATCAGAAACTAATTTTTGGAGTCGAGTAAATGCAAAGAGAAAATATTACAATTATATAGAAATTTAGCGATATGCAAGTTATGAGGAAGGATATAGAAACTTGATTATATAGATGAAGAAAAGATGAGACTGGATTACCGAAGCAATACGTGGCAATTGGAGATTGTAATCACTAATCCTACATGAATTGAAGAAAGAAGATAAATGGGTGACACACATGAAGAAAGTATCCGACATGAAAGGGGAAACTATTGAAGAGGATGATCATGCACAATGATGAGATATTATACATGCATTGAAGAAACAGTTAAGACCATCCTCTTGAAACCTATTCAAGACAAATGACCGTGTATATCTCAAGTTGCATGGTTCAGAAGATGTCATCACTTCTTGACATAGATTTTTTTTTTAAATTTATATATTTAATCTTATATATTTAACGTGTTGACATGTGTATTTTTTATATAAAGTTAAGTATTTACTCCTTTTATTTTTATATATAAAGTATTTTTTAATTGAATTCCGCATATCAAAAAAATTTGTTATCTAGTTGAACTCATATACAATAATTTTTCAGTTTTACACCTAGTAATATCATAATTACTATTATGATGGTGATAGAGAAAATATACAATTAATGATTTATTTTATTTTTTAATATAAGGATAAAATTATCTAATTATTTAAAAATATCATTGACACCCCTTATATTTAAGGACAAAATAAATTTTTAGAAAATATCTTATATGTAAGGATAGAGGGAGTAAGTTTTAACTTTTTTTTTTTTTAACTAATTTTGTTTCATGTAGCTATTTGATTGGATCATATAAGAGCATTGTTAGTCTCAATTGAAAATAGTTCTGTCGAAGGCATTTTTTTTATATTCAAGTGAATTTGAATTCAAACCTCATGTTTAAATGGCTAAAACCTCTTTCACTAGAACTAACGAAGTGCTGATTTTTTTTATTATGTTTTCTTTTCATTATGTTTCCAGTGAAATTCTCAACCGTTTAGATCAAATGGTATACATTAATCCAACAGTCTAGAATTGCAAGGGCCTCTACACTAAAAAGAGAGAAGGCATTTCCAATTTTATCCGGATTGATGTGGTAAATTATAAAGAATAATGATAAAATATCATATAGGCAAAACTATGCTTTTATAGTTATTTAACCTCATCACACAAGATTTTATTATGATCCTTTAATTTTATAAAATGTGTTTTTAAGTTTTCTAATCCTGACACAGTTAGTTTCATTAAAAAAATGTTAATATTAAACTTTTAAATATTAACAACAGCATTATCAAATGTTAACATATTATATTTAATTTTTTTTATTACTTACTGATATTTTCTTACTGGAGGCAATCATGTGGTACGTTCAGCCATTAAATGTAGATATGTCTTTTGGTTGGAATTCAAACCTTTGATTCACCAAAGTTACAAGAGATTAACTCCTTCTATTAGACCTAACTTTTATTGTTATTAAGTTTAATTTTTTAAAATAATAATGATTAAGTACTATGCAATTGATTTTTTTTATTTTTAAAGAAAATTTTGAAAACACATATAGTGCCACTTTTCTTGAGAAAAAAACAACGTCGTGGAGACACAGGAGCATTTTACCAATAAAATGCTTTCGTAGAATTTTTATTTTATAAGATTATTTAGATCCTGTTTGGTACACTGGAATTTGAAGCATGAAATTGAAAATGGATATGAAATTCTGAAAAATGTTTGTTTGGTATCATGGAATTTGAAAATTTTTTCATTTCCATATCCACCAAAATCGGTGGAATTGGCTTCCATGATACATCCCAAGGATTTCAAATTCTTTGCTCCATGCTCCAATTTTACCCCCTTCGGTCTCAAGCTTCTTGCCTTCTCAACTCTAGCAACCTTCTCCCCATCCGCCGGTGACCTTCTTCACCCTCTTTGATCCCCCCTTCCTTGCCAATGACCTTCTCCTCCCTCCGATCCTCCCCTTTCTTGCTAGTGACCTCCTTCGTCTTCGATACTCCCTCTTTGTCTCCATTCATCAGAGGATAACCTACCTCAGTGCCCACGCATGATTGCCTCTAGGTAACCGGCCATGGATGTTGAACACAAGAGCTTCGAAGTCGTACATCATTTTCCAACAAACAATCACCCCTGCATTTGCATTTATCTCTATTCGCACTCTCGCAAATTTGTTTTGCTTCATTTTCATATATGGGTTTTAGATCTATTTCATTTTCATATCTATTTTACAGTCAGACTTTTTTTGCAATGGTAATGGACTGGAGCTTGACAGTCACTTTCGCCGGTGGAAGAATGTTGGCAACTTGATCAGGATTTGCTTAGGCGGCCAGGTTCCTTGATTGGGTTTCTTGTCTTCTGCATCAGATAACGGGTTCTTTGTTCATGGTGGGTGTCGTACATGCTAGTTTTTTAAGAAGGGTATTTTCGTCTTTTGAACAAAAATGATGCTAAAATTCCATGAACATATCAAATATATTTTTAAACTCCATATCCATCTCCATTTTCATATTCATCTTCATTTCTATATCCATTTTTGTTTCCATCAAAATTAATTCCATAATAGTTATTTCCCTTTCCCTTTTACCCCACCCTTTGTTGCCTTTGCCTCTGACCCTACGTCCTCTCCGGATCTGTGTTTAAGATCTGATTATTCTGCCTTCGAAGCCCTATCGTGCAACCATTCTAGATCCATCGTGTATCTCTCAAGATGAACGTGGCCACAAAGTTTTTAATAAGAAAATGGAACCAGATCTAAAGGTCGTCGCTCATCCAAAGCTTGCCACTCGTCCGAAACTTATCTTCGTCTGAAGGTCGTTGCTCGTCACAAACTTTCTTAGAAGCTCCAAAGCCTTCTTTTCTTCTAATTCTAATTTCATGCTTTTGTAGCCTCATTCATGCTATTGTAACCAATAGGAGCTTGCTTTGGCCTCGAAGTAGAAAATAATCAATTTGATCTATCCCCTTTCTTCGCCCATTTCCTCTCGTTCTTTATCCGAATCGAAAGGAACTCACTAGGTCTCACACTTGAGCACGAGTTACTCTTTTGTGTAACGATCTTCAATGAATCCGCAAAGGCTCGATGTCCATGAACGACTATCTTACTAGAATGAAATCCATATCAGATAACTTGCATCTCGCTAGTTGCTCTCTTTCCTCTAATGATCTTACCTCATAAGTGCTTGCGGGTCTTTATGCAGACTATAATCCTATTATATGTCAATTGCTTGAGAAAGATGAGTTGAGCTGGGTAGAACTACAAGCTGCACTCTTGATGTTCGAAGCACGATCTCAACAACTAAATGAACTCAGCAACCTTGACTTGGGCTCCCACTCTATTAACCTTGTAGCTCATGACCACCATCAACGTGCACCCTCTCGTGGTGGCGGCCATCGCGGCAGTCGTGGTAATCTAGGTAATCGTGGTCATGGCTGAACTCCTCGAGGCATTAACAAAGTTGAGTGTCAACTATGTCTCAGGTTTGGCCATTTTGCAACCACTTGTTACTATCAGTATGATCGGTTGTTTACTGGAGACTCAAGGCAAGATCCCCCTTATCACTCTGCATTCATCGTAACATTTGAGATAGTAGATGATGATGATTGGTACCTTGATGGCTGTGCTACTGCACATGTGACTAATAATCAGGATCAACTTGAAAACTCACCCTTACTCTGATAAGTCTCCACTCTATGTTGGCAATAGTGACATACTAGCCGTCTCTCATACTGGTTCTGCAGGAATATTAATGAATAATGGTGAAAAGCTAAAACTAAAGGATATATTGCATGCTCCTCTTGTGTTAAAGAACCTTGGAAGATTGCAAATGACAATGATGTCTTTGTTGAATTTCATGCTACTCTTTATTTTGTGAAGGAAGAGAGGACAATAATATTACTTCGAGCAACACCTGAAGGAGGAGGAGAACTCTATAAGTTAATTCGCACAATGGCAACAAAAATGATGCCTCCAAATAACAGTAGTAGCTTTTAGAATAATAGTAGTCATACTTATTC